CCCGCCCCCCCCTCCCCCCCCCCCCCCCCCAGTGGGATGGGGGAGAAAATCGGGAAAAGAAGTAAAACTTATGGGCTGAGATAAGGATGGTTTAACAGAACAGAAAAGAAGAAACTAATAATGATAATGATAACACTAATAAAATGACAACAGCAATAATGAAAGGATTGGAATGTACAAATGATGCGCAGTGCAATTGATCACCACCTGCCGATCGACACCCAGTTAATCCTTGAGTGGCGATCCCCCGCCCCCACTCCCCCCAGTTTATATACTGGGCATGACGTCCCATGGTATGGAATACCCCATTGGCCACTTTGGGTCAGCTGCCCTGGCTGTGTCCTGTGCCAACTTCTTGTTCCCCTCCAGCCTTCTCGCTGGCTGGGCATGAGAAGCTGAAAAATCCTTGACTTTGGTCTAAACACGACTTAGCAACAACTGAAAACATCAGTGTTATCAACATTCTTCGCACATTGAACTCAAAACACAGCACTGTACCAGCTACTAGGAAGACAATTAACTTTATCCCAGCTGAAACCAGGACAGCAAGGGTCTTAGGGGGATGGGCTTTGTGAAGTCTTTGGCAATGCTGCAAATCAAAAGAAAAAAGGATTATTCTGATTTCAGGTCAGATCACAACCTGATTCATGAGTGGCCCGACAAGCAGTTGAGTTGGCTGGCGACGTGAAATAGGGTGAAAGGAACTCCCAAAATGGCACTGTGGTCAAGGAAAAGGCAAATGTTTTTTAAACTAATTCGCTTAAGTTCTGCAGCCAGAACATTCCTCTGCCTACAAAACAGCCATGATCAACTGCACAGTGTCACGTTCATACCAACATCAAAGACATGGTGGGAAGATCACTCAGATATGTGTGAGTCCCTCTATTGATTTGCTGACAGGACTTTTGTTCCAGGTTTTGAGGGGATTTCTTTTTCATTTTTTATTTACTCACCTTTCTGTGGATATGCCAAAGAAAATCTAGCAAAGTAGGCAAGTATGACTACTCTTCCTTTAAGGTTTATTTTTGAGCCTACTGTATTCATTCACAGTGTAAGTGTTACAGTTTCATTTTTAGCAACACATTAAGTCTTCATGAGACACTTGTCCCATTATCTCCCATTATTTCAAAGAGGAACTGAAATTTTGCTCTGTCCAGCTTATACTTGAGGACTAGCTGAATTGTTCTAGTGACCTCTTGCTTAACCACTCCTCTTTTAATAACCCCATATTTGTCACTTCTTTATCATTATTTCCTTAAAAAAGATGTAGGACCATACTCTCATGATCCTTTTCTGTGAGCTGTGACACAAAGGATGGTTTAGTTTCTCTGTAGTGCACTCTTCCTTCTGAACTGCTTCCTATATTCTTTGATAATGAAAATGAAAAACAGATGCAAGTATACTAATGTCCTCAAAAGCATCCCTTGTTCCATACATTAATAACTTATTTTCCCATATTTAAATATCTTTGGCTATATTTGAAATCTTTGTTGACATTCTTTATGTCTTTTCATGAAAAACATGAGGTACTTAATTGAGACAGGTATGATGATTGTGATTGCACCCAACTGCATAATAACCCACTGTTTTAAGCACACACAGTGCTTTTATTTATTTATTTACTTTTCTTGAGTTGACTTAGATTACCTCCATCTCTTGGGCAGATGT